AGCCGTCCCAGTCGAAGACCGGGCCTATTGACGTGCACTTTGTCACGGTGCGTCAAAATAATTTTCAATACTAACACTTATACGTAGTATAGCGTAGTAGAGTTCGTATCCACAAGGAAAGGAATAATTCTCTTTTTATGATACTTAGTAAATAAAAGGGGGGATTTGGATTGAGTGATTTAATTTAATTAAGAACTAAGATGAACAACCTATATGTGTTTAATTCAAAGATAAAAAGGATTTGGCATTGCTACTTTCCACTTGTTGATGTATTTTAGTCGATCATTGTTATATCTATAACTTATTCCCTCTCGAATATTCAATCGGGGAGTATATCCACTTCATCGAGGGTAGTTATTAACAACAACCGTTCATTAATAACCCTTACTATTAATCAAATATAGAACAACGCCTTATACCGATTTAATAGTACCATTTAATCTTTCTAACTCCTTGATGAAATCAATTGAGATTGATAACCTCAACACAACGGTTTCGGTTTAACCAACAAAATTAATCCCTCTTAAGTTTATTAACCACGACCGTGCATTAATAAACCGAAGTTACTTACTTGTGAAACCATCAACGATTAACCATCGGTTCGTTGATCGTTTCTAGTAATAATTAATATATGAAACAAAACTAGTTGATCCTTTAAGTAATGTTCAAAATATTAATATGAAATATGAGTAGGAATTAATTAATATTCAAGGAAGAATATTATTAAAGAAGATGAATCCTACTATAATTAATATCAAGATGTTAACTAATTGTCATCTTAGCAACACTCCCCAACATTAATATAGAGGAAGAAAATACCATTCTAACTAATGTCGAGATGTTAACTAATTGTCATCTTAGCAACACTCCCCAACATTAATATAGAGATGGTATTAAGGAAAGAACTATTAATTAATATTCAAGGAAAGAAGTTAAGAAAATAACTCACAACTTTAATAATCAACAAGCTTCAAGAGCAACACCAAGAATGGAAGTTTAGCTCCTCATTTGGAGACTAAACATACCTAGAAAAATATAAAGAAATGCTATTCTAAACTAAGCTTAAGAGTATGGAAGAAGGGATTCTTTTTAGAGAAGAAAAAGAGTGCTATTTATAGGTGTTTTTCAACACCTTTGGCCGGGTATCCGACCGGGTCAAGTACTCACCCGACCGGGTACCGGTCAAAATCAGATTATCTCCCACGTTTTTGTGTTTCAGCACGTTAAAATGTCCCGGGTCAAGTCAGACCCGACCGGGTCAAGTAGGGGACCCGACCGGGTTTGACTCAAAAATCAGACATTCTTTATTCGGGCGATCCTTGGCACGTTCTGGTGTTCCGGGTCACATCCGACCCGACCGAGTAGCATAGGGGACCCGACCGGGTCCAGCTCTTTCATTGAAATTTCGGTTGTTAATTCAGACCCGACCGGGTGAAGTTTCTTACCCGGTCGGGTATTTGCTCCTGGACAGTCAAAATTCCTTTTTCTTCACTTCAACATCCTCCTTTCCAACATCCTAATTCCTAATTCTACTTTACAACTTACAAATGAGAACTAAAATACAATTACAACTAAAATCACACAAATGTTTACAAACTAAATAAAACGTCAAACAATCACCATCAATGAAACATAAAAACATACAATTATGCACTACTAATTAGTGTGCATCACCTATCTTGATAACCTTGGCCACGTCAGAATTTATGATGATGGAATGGACCTCATCGTCCAAGTAAGATCCTTGCACACTTTGTTACTTCCGTCTTTTTTGTCACCATAAGTGTCTTTATCGTCCTAACCATTTCATTTTTGCAGGTGGCCTTCTTGCTGATGGATAGCCTTGCATGGAAAGTCATGATATCGGTGATCCAGTCCTCCGGCCGATGCTGGATGCACATGACCGGGCTGGCATGGATGTTGGACATGTTGAGCTCCTCGATCTTAGCTATTTTGGAAATGTGCTCTAGAGTGTCTGTGCTGAGCTTGGAGAGGATGTCGGCCTCAGCATTCTCTGCCCTTGGGATCTGTGTGATCTCATGGGTTTCAAATGCCTTGAGCAACTCCTCGGCCGCCTGTTTGTACTGCCTCATCCTCCCTTCTTTGGCCTCGTATGAGCCTTTGACCTGGCCCACCACCAGTTTGGAGTCGCATCTGATTCTGATGTGTCGCGCTTTGAGGCCGGCAGCGAGCCTGAGGCCGCTGAGGAGGGCCTCAAACTCGACTTCGTTGTTGGATACCCTGAATTTGAAGCGGATGGATAGTAAGCTCTGAATCCTTCAGGGGAGATGAGGACGACGCCACCCCCACATGCTTTGGCGGCCGATGAACCATCGGTGAAAAGGGTCCATGCTTCATCTGGCTCCGGCCCGGGTATGGTAGCGGCCATCTCCCTTGCCGTGCATTCGGTGACAAAGTCGGCCAAGGCTTTCCCTTTGATAGATGGCCTTGGCTTGATTTCAATCTGGAACTGGCTAAGGAAGATTGCCCACTTCACCATCCTCGAGGAGCTAGTGGGGCTCCTCATGAGGGCGCCGAGGGGCTGTTGAGTCAACACGTGGACGACGTGGGCCTGGAAGTAGTGCCCTGGCTTCTTCACCATGTGGACGATGGTCAGTACCATCTTCTCAATGGGGGAGTACATAAGCTCGGCATCCCATAACGTCTTGCTGACGTAGAAAATAGCCTTCTGCACCCCTTCATCCTCGCGGATGAGCACGGAATTGATGGCCGACGTGCTCACCCCTAGGTACAAGAAGAGGGTTTTGCCGGCCTTGGGCTTGGAAAGCACGGGAGGGGATGAGAGGTACTGCTTCAGCTCTTCGAACGCTTGCTGGCACTCCGTCGTCCACTTGAAGTTGTTTGCTTGCGCGTGATTTGGAAGAAAGGGAGAGACCTTTCAGCCGATTTGGAGAGGAAACGGTTCAGAGCCGCAAGGCATCTCGTCAGTCGTTGTACCTCCTTCACGTTTCGTAGTGACTCCATGTCAACAATGGCCTGGATCTTCTCAGGGTTTATTTCGATGCCCCTCCGGCTGACCATGTAGCCGAGGAACTTGCCTCCCTAGACGCCAAAGGTGCACTTCTTGGGGTTCAGGCGGAGCTGGAACTTCTTCATGATTTCAAAATCTTCCCGGAGGTCGTCAGCATGAGTGGTAGATTGCTTGCTCTTGACGATCATATCGTCGACTTATGCTTCCATCGTCCGGTCGAGGACTGCTCTGAAGACTTTGTCCACCATCCTGGTGTATAGGCGCCTGAATTTTTGAGCCCAAAGGCCATGACTAGGTAGCAAAAAAATTCCTTCGAGGTCATGAAGGCCGTCTTCTCGGCGTCATCTTCATGCATGAAGATCTGGTAGTACCCCCTGAAGGCATCAAGGAACAACATCAACTCGCACCCCGCCGTCTCGTCCACCAACTAATCAATGTTGGGGAAACAGAACGGGTCCATAGGGCATGCCTTGTTCAGGTCAGTGTAGTCAATGCACATTCTAAACGTCGGCGTTGGCCAGCCAGGTTGGGTACTTAGCCTCCTTAATGTGGTTGATTGAGAGGAGCATGGTGGCTTCCCCTTTGACGAAGTCCCATCATTCGGCCGAGAGGTAGCGCCGCTTCTGCTTGACTGGCGTGGAGGTGGGATCGGGTGACAGCCGGTGAGTGATCACTTTTCGGCTAATGCCTGGCATGTCGTCCGGCCCCCACGCAAAAAAGATTGCATATGACCGCAGGACTTGGAGGATGTCGTCGCGTTGGTCCCGGGGGAGTTGTCTCCCAATTTTCAGGACTCGTTCCGGCCGAGAAGGGTCCAGGGGGATCTCCTCGACTTCTTCGATTGGCTCAGCATGCGGCCTCTCCCCGTCCTTGGCGACGGTGGCGGTGATAGTGTCTACCCTTTGCTCGATACCTGCGATCAGCTTTGTCAGCTTGAGGTAGCATGCTATGGCTATCCTCTGGTTCCCCCTGGCGTAGCCGATACCGTCACTGGTAGGGAACTTCAGGCACAGGTACTTCATGGAGATGATGGCCTCCACGTCCTCTAGTGTCGGCCGCCCCCAGATCAGGTTGTGGGCGCACTCGAGATTGACCACCATGAATTCCATGTCAATTTTGGCGCGATGGGAGCCGTCACCGACCTCCACGGGGAGGACTATCGTTCCTTCGGCGTTGATAGAGTCCCCGGTGAAGCCGGACAACGGTGTCCGTATCGGCTTAAGAAGGGCCTTGTTCAGCTTCAGCTGCTTGAAGGTGTCAAGGTACATGACATTGACGGAGCTCCCCGTATCGATGTAAGTGCGGTGGATGATAGAGCTACCTATCTCGCATCGGATGACGAGGGCGTCCAGGTGTGATGCGGGGCCCGGAGGCAGATCCTTGTTGGTGAAGGTGATCGCCTCCGTCCGCTGCTTCTTCGGCTGGGGGGGGGGGGGCGTGGGACACCTTCCCAATGTAAAGGGATTGGGTCCATTTCTTCCTCTCGGTGGCTGAGTCCCCCCCAGTGTTGCCCCGCACGATGAGGTGGATATGGTTCTTCTTCGGAGGGGGCTCCTCAAAGTCTTCATCGTCATCGCTGAGTCTGCCGATCTCACGTTTCTTCGTAGAGGGTTCGCCCCCATTTTTACCGGTGTTTACCCGCGTATTTTTGCGTGGGCCACCTTTAACAAATTGGGAGAGTTCCCCTTGGCGAATTAGCTTCTCGATAGTCCTCTTCAGCGTGACGCAGTCGCGTGTGTTGTGGGAGGTGTTTCTGCGGTAACAACAGTAGGTACCGCCCTGATGGACGGTGTAGATTTCCTTTTCCGACCGGGGATCCCGTTCAATGAGATCATGCTCCTCGGCATAATCGAGGATGGAACTGACCGAATGAGTGAAGGGGGTCTTCGGCCTTTCCATCCTCGGCCGCCATGGACGGTCCTTTTTGCTATGTCCGCCAGACCCATGGCGGCTCTGTCCTCCCTGGCCTCGTGTAACACCCCCATTTTCCCCAACCAAAAATACATTCAAATAATGATTTATTCAAAGGAATTATCAACTTTATTTGAAAACATGAGAGATGCAGCGGAAGTCTTAATAGGGAAATGGGTGTTACTGTCACACTCGGTTCTCACATAACCGAATGCACAGGCTAAACCACCATCCAAAAGTAATCCAAGTATTTAAGTACTGAAAATTTCAAAAATAATTTAAATGTCTACATGTTCTCAAACTGAAATAAACAATAACTAGGTGATTATAAATACTAAACTACGTGATCTAACGCAGCTCTCATCATCATGCATAACCTTCATCACCTGCACAATTAAAGTGCAGAAAACAAAACAAAGAAAAGGAAACAAAAATTAACTTTTTAGCTAAGTAAGGCCCACCCATCCCGTAAAATAATCACGTTTGGCGAAAATAGTTTTTCATATAATACTATATAAAAATGACACACTCCACCAAAATACTTTTCTCTTTGATTTTTTTTAAAATCACTTCTTTACTAAAATCCTCAACTTCTCTTGGAAAATATCATAGTAATTCTTCTCTTTAAATTTCGTAAGAAAATATCTTTTTCACTAACTTCCTAGTAATTTAGAAGGGCGGTGCTCAACCTTTCGGCTGAGCCCGGTGGACCGTGGTTACGGACGGCCACCCCGATCAAGTGCCGGTACCACAACTGCTCTTGCGGAAACGAAACGACTACCTTAAGTGTGCACACCCCCTAAAAGGGATTCCAAGCCCTCCGAGTAGTAAGTCATCCCGAGTGGTCGGAACCCAACCACCCCACCTTTAAAATTCTTGAATGATTAGTGACTACTACTATAACTCTGCTTCTTAAAAGGGATCATCGATCCAATTATCACTCAAAACTTATCCTCACCCTTAGCAGTAGCAGCACTTTTACGTCGGAACTACTAGTACTACCACAACTCTCCTTCTTAAAAGGGATCATCGATCCAAAAGTTACTCAAAAATCTCTTCTTAGTAGTAGCCGCTCTAATCACCCTCCACATTTATCCGGATGTGGAAAACCGACACCGCGGATTTCTCCCGCGGTGCTCACCTTTTATGAAAACGTAAATTTTATCTTGGCTTTAGATATACTTCTAAAAAAATATTTCTCAATCTCTCTAAATAATCTCAAAGGTATTTAAAAATATTTAATACCCCAAAAAGTACTCTTAATTTATATTTCTCAACTACCATATATATAATATCTCCTCAAAATCACATACACAAAATTCACAATTCACACTTAATCACATAATGCATAATAAGCATATAATACGAGGAAACAATTTTGGATTGGCAGAGAAACTTACAATTTAGGGTTTATCCAAAACTAGTTCCAAAATAGTATTTAATACCATATTCAAAATAATCCAATAAGGATATTTATAACTCCAGAATATATATGTAGATTTTCATACCAAGATATACATTTAAAAATATATAATTTATCCCAAAAGATTTGATCTCACAACACTTTCCAAAAAGAGGGTTTAACCCAAACAACCACTTCCCAAAAGTAGCATTTACTACTACCACCAAAATAATCAAATTGGAGTAATCTGAACCCATAATATATTTTCAATATAACCAGCTATAATAGTCTCAAATCATTTTTCAACTCATATCAAAACAATCATCAAAAATCACAATTTTAGCCATGATAAACTGATTTGATAAATTCACCAAAAATAACACGTTCATAAATTCCCAGAAAATCATACATCATCATACTCATACTATGATAGCCGAATTATCCATAAAATTTCAGAAAGAAACTCAAATCATAGCACAAACCCTAGTTTATACAATATAGAGGCAAAATAGTAATTTTGGTTGCAATAGTCCTTACCTCGAGGCTAGCAACGAATCCTAAACGTCAAACCTAGTTTGATGGATCATTCACACGTACCTAGGAAGTGATAGGTTCGAAGGATCTCAATTTAGGAGAAAGAAATTTAGGAAACGGATGAACGACGCGAATTAGGCAACAAACGCACTTACCGGAATATTGGATTGTTTGATCTCATCATTGGCATAAAATTTCGTGCTGGATACGTTAATATTGAAGAGCTGGAAGGGATAGATCTTGAAGAGGCGTTCCTAGGATTTTTGGAATGAAGAAAATCGGATTAGGGATGTATTTATAGTGAATTTCCGAAGTTGGAGTTGCATTAGGATACAACAGGAACGCACGCGTGCGTACCTTCCACGCACGCCGTGCGTGACCCCCAGACGCCCCAAACCTTAGTTTTTGCCCCGTTTCTTCCCCATTTGGACCTCCCCTTTGTCCCAAACACTAAACCAAACATAATAAACGACCTAAGGACAGTGTAAACAATATGAAACACAATTTTAATTATTTCCCAAATTCTCTCAAATTTTCGGGGTATTACACCTCGGTCCCCGGACGAGGGTGCCCTTCGTCCTTCTTATGGATGTGGAGCTCATCGGCGTCAGCGTATAAGTTCCCTCACTGGAGCGCCTTCGTATAGGACCTTGGAGGGTCAGTGATGAGACTCCTCGCATATGGGGTGCTGCGGAGGGCACCCTTGAAAAGGACAAGGAGGGTGCGCTCATCGGCCTCTTCGACCTCATCGGTCTCCCTCGTCCATCGGTCGATGAACGATCGAAGTGACTCGTCATGTTCCTGCTTGACGGAGAGAAGATCGGTGAAATATTTCTTCGCGCGCTTCCTCCCGGCAAAGTGGGTGAGGAAGCGTTGGGCAAAATCATGCCATGAGTCTATGCTTCCTTCAGGGAGCACGTTAAACCACTCGTACGCTGTCCCCTCGAGAGTGGAAAGGAACCAACGGCAGAGGTATTCATCCGACGCGTTTACCGTCAGCATGTTATTCAGATAGCGGCTGAAGTGCTCCTGAGGGTCGGAGCGGCCGTCATAAGGTTTGATGGCGTTTCTCCTGTACTTCTCGGGAATGGGAGCCGAGAGTACCCTTGCAGTGAAGGGAGTCCTAGTCCGAACCTGGATGATAGGGTCACCTCGTCCCTCGGCCAACTCCCTCTCCAGGGCGATGACCTTATGCATGAGTGCGTTGTAACCAGGATCCCCGGAAGTGTTAGCCGTGGGGATGGTGGCCGATTGTCTGGCCTCCATTTGGGTCAGTCTCCTCTCCAGCTGGGCGATGACCTCTTCCCGAGGGTCCTTGGCGGCCGTAGTGGTGCCTTGCTGGTTGCGCATGCGGGCTTCGTGAGCCATGTTGATTCGATGGCGCGCATCGTCCACGTGCAACTTGCCTTTGCCTTTATCCAAGCGGGGCCGATTCGCTGTCCGAGATACGGACCCCAATCTTTCCCTTGGTGAGCCAGGCTGACGTTCACCAATCCGTCCCGCCATCCTCTCCAAAGCAAGCCGACGGCACGTGTCACCTAGCCTATTAAAGGCTGAGGCTTTTCCACACGCTGGGGTCGATCTAACTCGAAGTGGGGAAGCAGGATGGGAATGGGACGACGTGTCCTGGGGCACCACCCCTTCGTCGTTGCCTAGCTTGATGGCCAACGGTTGGGGCTGAGGAGGCGGTATAGTGTTCTTCCCAATCCTTGGCATGAGTGCACTGAGGACGGTGGGGTTCTGGGCCAGACTGGCGATGATGGCCAAGTGTGTGGCTTGGAGCTAAGGGTCAATGGCGGGAGAAGCCAGTTGCCCCGAGGCATTGTCGCCCTTCTCCAGGCGCTTCTTCTCAAGGCCGATGTGGGCGTCAGGGGCGCCGCTGTTGAGCTGGTGGCGCAGATCATTCGTGTGGTCGATGGCCTCTTGGAAAACATCCTCGCTCGCGGCCTTGTCGGTCGTGGCGTCCTCCTCGTGTTCCCTGTTCTCTTGGGCTTCAGGGATGGCCTTGCCGAGGAGGTTACGGTTGGACTTAGTTGTTCCCATGATCAGCTACCTGTGCTTGGTAGCGACAAAGGATGCTAACTTGATTGTTCTAGCTCTCAACGAAAGCACCGAATGATGGAGTATTAACTCCTAGAGAGAAGTGAGAGCTACAGAGAGAAGTGCAATAAATATTTGCAATAAATGATTTGTGAACCCCCTACAACTACTCCCAAGGGGAGTATTTATAGAAGAAATTAGGACTGGACTCCCAAGTCTTGGGCTTGGGAGGCCCATTTACAATTGGGCCACTATTGGGCTGAGTACAAAATATGTAGAAGTAATTAAGTGTGAAGTCCGGTTCTGGGAGCTTTCTGTGGCCGACGAGGGTCTGGCCGACGGAGCCATGGCCGACGGGGACACCCGGTTCTCGTGGCTTCTGGACCATGTTTTGAGTTGATATCTTTCTGGCCGATGGAGGGCCATCAGGCCGATTGAGGCCCCACTGGGTGACAGTTGTGCCTCTTATTCTTCTGAGTATGTGGGTCCCGGGGTCTAGACTCGTATACCCCATCAAGTAGCACTGAATTTTAATATAGCACTTTAATACGGAGTACTTCATATTTTACCGACTTCTACACATACAATGTTTCATTCCACAATACTTAGTAGTATATATAACTGCATTTTTTCTTTATTTACTTGAAAACGACATTAGTTACGTCGCACCACTTTATATTAGGGGTGTTTGTCGGTTCAGTTTCGTCGGTTTCGGTTTTATCAGTTCGGTTTTATCGGTTTTGGTTTTAGAAAAGGTGAAACCGTAAACTGAACCGCACTACTTGAATCGGTTTCGGTTAATTTCGTTCAGTTTTCTCGGTTTCAGTCGGTTTTAGCATGTTTTTGTCAGTTTTTTGTCGGTCGGTTTCGGTTCGGTCAGTTGTTTTACGCTAAAGGTGAAACCGTAAACCGAACCGCCAATGGTTAACCAGTTTTAGTCAATTTTGTCTTGAGTCGGTTTCGGTATTGATCGATTCAGTTTAGTTTTTCGGTTTTTTTGTTCTCCCCTACTTTATTTACATCCATATACGGAGTATAATAGTACCCCTGTGTCCCATTTAAATCTTTACACTTCCCTTTTTGGGACGTCCCATTTAAATCTTTACGCTTGTTTTTTTGGTAACTTTGTCAACACCAGAGCCGAACCTCTACGTGAGGCAAAGAGGCAACTGCCTCAGGCCCACAAATTTGGGGAAAAAATTAGGGCCCTGTAAATTTATTAATTACCTTTATATAGAGGAAAGTTCATGTCTGGAATTCCGGACAGGAAACGCCGTCCGGACGGTGGCTTTTGGTCGCCTTTTCTGTGAAAGTTTTTGATGAAATTTTTATGGCATGTTCCATATCAAGTCTAGTTTATTTACAAACAAATTCAGCTTAAATTCAACCGGGAAGGCCGTTAAATAATTTTTGGATGTTAACTGCGTTTTATGTGTATATTTTGGCCTAGTTATCTTTAAAAAAACCCTTTGATGACCTTCTCGATCGAATTTTTAGCTGACATTTTTTGTTGATAAAGTAGACTTGAGGAAAAACAGGAAATAAAAATTTCATCAAAAACTTCCACCTGGAAGACGGTCAAACGCCGCCGTCCGGATGGCGGTTCCTGTTCGGAATTCCGGACATGAACTTCAACTTTCCTCCCCAAAAATTCTTGAGGGCCTTTTTTACAGCTCGACTCAGACCAAAAAACTCTTAGGATCGGCTTTGATCAACACTAAATTATCCTAAATACCCTTTAGTTATATCTTACCCACCCACAGTTTATTACCCTCAAAAGAGGATACCCACACTGTATTACCACAAGTTGTAACCTTCCGGAGAACACCAACTTGATACTCGCATAGTGTAGAAGCTCGTCAATCAAAGATGGGGGAGACTGAGTTCTTGATGCGGCCGATGCGTCGGTTCCGGTTCCGGGAACGGCATCTTTGCCGGAAAACAAGAGTGCAAAGAGAATCAAAGAATGCGACGAAACATCGAAAACGAGAACAAGGATGTGGTGAGAAGCAGCGGGTAGAGCAGAGAGGCCCTGTTTGTGAAGTGATGGGTGGAGAACGATGAGCCTTGTTCCGGGCCTCATCTTCAGAAAAGGAGATGATAGAGAAATGAATTGGGTCTCAATATTTTATCTTTGAATTTGATATGTTTGTCTTCTTCCCTATTTGAATTTACTCCGTATAAGAAATGGTTGATGAAATGGTAGATGTGCTCCCAGACCCCTATTAATCGCAAGAAAGTAAAGGCAAAAGGCAAAAGGCAAAAGGCCGTGCTGCGCGCATCCTGTTTAATACTTAGCTCACCCACTTTTCTCCACCGTCGGACAATTTTAACCTTTCTTTTCATTTTTTATTGCCTCACTTCTAGGCATAGACGCTAAGTTCATAGTTCATGTTCTAGCACTTTTTTTTCACCCAACGATGCCAAGCTTATTTGTCTTTTGAGTTGATCGAGTATAATTCATGATTCTTTTCCTGTCAAATTGGTATTCTGTATGATTTTTTTCCTGTTTTGATTATCTCATCTTACCAATATAGTTAATTTTGTCTTGCTTTTATATACTCATTTAAACAAATTTGAATACTTAGTTTTAAGCATGTTGCCAAATAATGTATTTTGATCATTTTTTTTAAATATTTTATGGCTTGTGTATGACTTACAAAAAACAATAATACACTAAGAACCCGTTTGATGACATTTTTTTCGGCTTATCAGGTTTATCAGTCAGTTTTAACCAAACACCTAAGTTTTGATTTCGCGCGTTGAATTGTGTAATAATAAGAAAATGTAATAATGTAGTTACTTTTGTGGCTGTATTGGCTGAAATTACTGTAAAGTATTATTTTAGCTATTCTTTCATATAATTTTTATTTTATTTATTAATAACAAATAATTTAAATATAATTTTTACCCATTTAAAAAATTGTTGGGGGTGTCTTTGGGAGTCCTTATTTTGAGAGCGGCTGTTTTTAAAATTATGTATTCTCAAAATGTTTTTAGAGTAACACGTGGGGAGCAGTTGCTTTAATAGTTCGTAGGAAGTATGTAGTATAAAGAATTAAAAAGGACAAATGTGTCTTATGAGGGTTAGATTAAGCAATTTTGGAGGTGCATAAATCAACTCCCAAGGCAAAAGGGGTTTTAGATCTTTTATTAATTTCATCCGAGACGGAGGGAGCAGTAACTTATAACTACATCATGATAGTTGCTCATATTCAAGAAAAAACACAGGACTAATATTATATATATATTTGCACAATAGAGAAACATTACTTAATCATGGCTTCCGACGGTTCAGGAGTTCAATATAAAACATCATAACTAGCCGTTCTAATTCTTTTGAATTATTATTATTACATAGCATCGAATCAGAAAATGCAATTTTCTTATATAATAACAGTATGTACCCCATGATAAAAAGTGTAATTATTAAGAAAAAATGGGGTCATCAAATAGCAAATGTATCGGTTAACAGATCATGCGGAGTTAGTATGCTTTAATTGCACGCGCATATCTATGGCCTGCGAGAACCGATTGAATCGCATTTCTTTCACCTACCTATAGCCTATAAAGTAATTGCTCCAAATCGAAGAAAAAAGAAAATCCAAAATAAAAGTTATTATTGATTTATTCCTGAATACTAATTATTAGTTGACTAGTCCATTCATTTTGCTAATTTTATCCTTTTTTTTAATTACATACGGATTCATTTATCTTCTTTTGTTAGACCTTTTCCGTTTGTCAGGCCCATCTCTCGTCTTTTCAAACGGCCTAGCTTGAAACTAATTTGTAGGGTTGGGCGCGGTCCGGAACGGTCCGGTAATTGGTAAAACTCGTAATGTATCCGTGAAGTTTTTAATGATCCGGTACGGTCTGGTTCCAAAGATAGAATCGTTCGGTACCATGTCGTTTCGGAACGGTACAAAACGGTACGGTACAATGTCAAACACATGCTAAATTTTTTGAACAAATCTTGCAATCAATAGATATCATCACACCAACCAACTCACATGAAATGTTGAAATAAATACAAGAAATTGCATACATATATAGTACTAAAAATTCATAAATACCCAAATAGTGCAACCCAACTAAGAAAAAGTATAGCAAAACGATGACGCACGAGATAAATATCATTTTTAATTTACTAAGTTCATGTGAAAATATAAAAATGAATATCATCAAATTGTTGAATGTAATAGAAATCTTCAACATTCTTCTTCTTTAGTTCTAATTTAATTTATAGTTGAACCTTGAGAGCTAAGATTTAAACCATATTAATTAAGTTGTAAAAAATGCACAAACATGATACAACAAAAAGTCATATACACTACATTACTAGAAATAAATAATCATTAATGATTTCTAAAATATTAATATTCTTTCAATACATACCAAAATATAACATAAATGATCTAAAAAGAAAAACTAACAATATATACATATATATATATATATATATATATATATATATATATATATATATATGTATGTATATATATGTATGTGTATATATATATATATATATATATATATATATATATATATATATATATATATATATATATAAACACATTTTAGATATCTTAGGGACACATGAATACATACTTGAGGTATAAAATTGTTGGTCTAGATCTATTGATATAGAAAAAATATAAAAAATTCAAGAGTTAATGACCTATCTAGGACTAAAACAAGTTTGGTGTGCACAAATAGGACCAAAAAACGAGTCTATGTTTCATAGGACTTAAAAATACCTATTTGTACAAAAATGCCCCCATTCAGTTTTATTTGAATATAAAATTAAAAAAGTAAAATTAAAATTTCAGGAAACCCTAATATTTCACACGAGAACTTCAGCCAGCCTCAACGCAGTTGCCACTTGCCACTGCCGCTTGTCACCACCCTCGCCGGCGTTGTATGCATCCACCCTTACCGCCTGTCACCGCCCTCCCACATCGGAGTCACCATCCGCCGCAGCTACCTCCATCCTCCGACCACCACCGGTGGAAACTTGACCACCGAGCACCATCACAACTCTGACTCAAAAAAACTGCCATATTGTTGTCAGATTTAATTTGGCAGATTCATTTGAATTCTGCCATGAACAAGGATTTCAAATCTGCCACAGATTTGACAGATCTATCTTGAAATAGGAACACAAAACTGTCATATATTTGGCAAAAACATGAAATGATTAATCAAATGTTCGAAAAATTCCAAATTGTAATTGAATAAGCAAGCTAACACAATTGAAAATTACAAATACAAAGTTATTTAAAAAAACAGAAAGCCAGTTTAATAAACTTTTTTGCCATAATATGATTTTGTCAGTGTACATTTCTGCCATAAACATGGCAAAATCGTATGCCATCATCCAAAAATCCAGAAAATCAAAAAATTTCAAATACTAAGAAATACTCCGTAAGAAATTAGAAATACGAAAATAGAAGTCTGAAAAATTGGACAAATCCATGTCAAAATCCTGAAAAACAAAAGAATCGAAATTTGAAAAAGGAAGATGAAGACGAAGGACAAGGAGAAGGAGGAGGAGAAGAAGAAGGAGGAGGAGAAGGAGAAGAAGAAGGAGAAGAAGAAACCTGAAATCCAAAGCAAAATAGAGTTGATGATGGTGGATGGAGGAAGCAGCGAAGCGGAGGCGGTGGATGTGACGGAGGCAGAGGCGGTGGAGGCGATGAAGGCAAAGGCAATGGAAGCACCATTCGGTGGAGTAAGCGACGCGGCAGATCTATGCGAAGAAGATGGGATGCTGTTACTTTGGGCTCTAGAGAAATAATCGATCGATCTATGAGGGGGGAAGGGGGAGAGAATGTGTAGATGGGTTCAAGGGCAAAATTGGGATGCTAATTTTCATGTTTTTAACGGTAGGAGTAAATTGAGCCTATTAAGGGAAGAAAACATATCAAGTCCTATATTTGCATTTCACCTTTGTTTTAGTCCTATATGGGGCAATTACTTAAAATTCAAATGCATTATTTACGAACGGTTCAGTTCGGTATTTTTCGGTTCTCAAAATCTAGGACCGGTCCCGTACCCGTTTCAAATGGTACGGTTTCGGTACGGGATAAAAATATATAGAACCGTTTAAATACCCGATATTCGGTTCGATACCATTACGGGACGGTTCGGTACCGATTCGGTTTGGGTTTTATGCCCATCCCTACTAATTTGGAGCCTATGAACCTGTCCTCTCTTCTTTCTTCATGCAATCCTCCCCTCTCTCCTCTTTCATCTCCTCAACTAATACAACGATGAATTTTTCTCACCAACTCTGGCCACCGGTGTGCTAGAAATTAAACTTGGCTTAGCCCAATAATTGGGTCCATTAGATGTTAACTTATTGGGCTAGAAGTTGTATGATAATTAATAAATTAGCTAGCCCATAAGATAGACTTAGAAAGATCTAGAGTAGTTAATGTACCTAAACAATTCTAGATTATTCCTAAGTTAGAATCCTATAGAATATTCTAGAAGGTTAAGGAAGTAGGAGTGCCTAGAAGGATCCTATGAGACCTATAAATAGAGCACTCCTCACTCATTTGTAAAGCAAGCCAAAAAGCTCCAAATCAATACAAGTTCCAAGTTCTTCTAAAATCACCTCTCTCTAAAATTCTCTCTTCCACACACAATCACCCAAATATAATACTCATCAACTACTTTCTTCCAACAAAGTGGTATCAGAGCCATCAATCCTTTCAAGAAAAATGAATTCCAACGGCTTAGTTCCATTCCAATTTCCTCGTCTCACTAAAGATAACTACTCTAGTTGGTCCATTCGCATGAAAGCCTTGCTTGGATCTCAAGATGCATGGGAGATTGTTGAGAAAGGTTATGAGGAACCTCAAGATGATGCTACTTTAAATCAATCCCAAAGGGATAGTCTCCAAAAGAGTAGGAGGAAGGATCAACAAGTTCTCACTCTCATATATCAATGCTTAGACAAGGCCATGTTCGAGAAGGTTTCAAATGCCACCACTTCTAAAGAAGCATGGGAGATACTACATAACTCTTTCAAGGGAGTTGACAAGGTGAAGAGAATTCGTCTTCAAACTCTTAGAGGTGAGTTCGAACAACTTAAAATGAAATATTCGGAATCAATATCCGACTATTTCTCTAGAGTGTTAGTAATTGTAAATGAGATGAAGAGGAATGGTGAGGAACTAAAGGACATAACGGTGATTGAGAAAATCCTTCGCTCTCTCACCAAAGACTATGATTATATTGTGGTGGCCATAGAAGAGTCCAAGGATTTAGAGTCCATGACCATTGATCAACTTATGGGCTCACTACAAGTCCATGAAGAAAGAGTTGTGAGAAATAAATCTGATGAATCATTGGAGCATTCTCTTTACTCCAAACTCTCTTTTAAAGAAAGAGGGGAGAATAGAGGTGAAGAAAGAGGCCAACGAGGTCGTGGTTATGATCGAGGATGTGGTGCACGTGGAAGAGGTGGTCGAGGTC